CCCCCAAACAGAAAGAAAACAGCATGTAATTTGAAAAAAATGAGCTCAGTTTTAGCGGCCGATGGAGTTTAAAGTTATTTCGAATTAGGAACCATTTTTTAAAACCAAATGATACCCTTCCTTGAAGTATTAACATTGAAAAAGGCTAATTTGCTACCAAGCGAGTGCAAGAAAGAATATTTTCCTGCTTGTTTTCCATAAAGTATATTTTAAGGAGGCAGACTAATTAAACAGACATTTTGTACAAAGTTTACTAGTTATAGGCTACCAGAAAGAAGCTCATTCAAAAGCTGGCATCCTGATATGACTGAAGTATCTTGAGATTAGGTTGTGTGAAGGTGTGTTTATCGAAAGAAAGCTTGGTCTGGACAGTACACGAATATTAACTGTTTCATACCAATTCAATAGAAGGGAGATCTAGTTCTCTGCTTAGTGCAAAGGGCTAGGAAAATTTGCTCAGCAGAGAGTATCGAGGAGGAGCTCAAGAAAGTTCACGAATTACTTCAAGCGAGTGGGTATCCTGAGAGGCTTATCACAAGCAATATGGCTGCGAAACAAAGAAAACCCACTGCACTTACTGTGGAAAAGAAAACGCTATTCTTCATAGTCCCCTTTCGAGGGGACGCGGCAAGTGAACTGCTGAAAAGGCGCCTTGACCAAGCCGTTTCATGAACCTTCCCAGCAGCCAAAATTCGGCTATTATTCTCAACCAACTCTACCATACATGGGGAAGGTAAGGGTAAGTTACCAGCTAAGACCACCTCCATGTGTATCTACTCCTTTAATTGCTGCTGTGGAGCAGGTTATATTGGTTGCACAAGTTGGCGCCTATCCAAAAGCATAAAGCAACACCTCCCAGCAAGGCTGATAACAGGTGAGGTCAGGAGTATAAACAGCTCTATTCTGGCGCACATGGACATCGGGTGGAGCCCAACGAAGCTTTGCGGATGATCTATAAGATCTCACCAAATTATCTAAAGGCCCTGGGTCAACGCCTGCTAGCAACAGCAGAAGCGACCGCTATCAGGTGGATGAATCCGGCGTTGTGTGCGCAAAAGTACTTCGTATAAGCTCCGCAGCTTAGGATTAGGTTGTAGGATATTCTGCAAGGTGTTTTCGATTCTGGCAAGATACTTCAGTCATGTCAGGACGCCACATTTTGAACGAGCATCCTTCTACCTGGCAGAAGCATGCCGTGCACAAAATGGCTTTTTAGGTAGTATGCATTTTTTCGTATCGGTTTTCAATGCCCCATAGATTTTAATATATTCTACAGAAAGCATGCAAACACATATATTCCTTCTAGCAAATAACGCCTCCTTCAGTATATGTTTTGGTAATAAGTAGGTTTCTAGGTTTTCGAATAATTTTGAAGACTGTACTGACCGGTGCACTTCATTTTAATATTTCCAAACTACGAGTTGTATACATTCTGTCTGGGGAAAAATAGATATTTCCCTATGGTATGAGTAAGACGTCAGATATTTCTCATAAATTTTGCAATGGACTTGGATCAAACTTTGTAGGTAACATTTATAAATTGCTGGATGCGATGTAGCATGAATGAGCATTTCGCGATTATAAAAGCTCAGCCAATAGCAAATATTTTGAAACCGACATTTGAAAAAGGCCTCATTTTCTACTAAACGAGTATAAGAAGGAATATGTAAGTGCTTGTTTTCTATAGAATAAATTAAACTATATGAGGGCATTGAAAATCAATGAGAAAAATGCATAATAATCGAGAAGCCATCGTGTAAGGAGGATATATGTTGTAAGCTGCCAGAAAGGAACTCTTAAAAGCTGTCGTTCTGACGAGAGAAGTTTCTTGAGATAAAGTTATATGAAAAGCAGTATTAAAACGCTACTTATGTAATTAAAGTAACGAGAGTAAATGTTTCGTATTTTGTTTGTCGTGTTGCTAAGGCACTGGAGCAACAGAAGGAATGGTTAAAAAAGACGAAACTGTGTATTATCCAACTGTTGAACAAGTAATTGCTGATGAGCCTGTTTCAATAAACTCTCCCTTAGGTAAGAATTTGAACATTTTAACCATTATTCCGAGTAGGCGGATCGCACCCGCCCTTCGATGTGCTGTGAAACACTGGAAACACAAGATGTAACGCTCGTATTAGAAGTATGTGCACTTGGAGTCGTAAATTAATTATCATGGGCCTTCTGCTTTGTTGATATGTGAATAAAATTCTCATCAGATCTCTAGACAAAACATGAAACATTGGAAAATCCAGTTCGCTGTCAGTGAGCCAATTTCCAGGGCTGTGAATGCGACATTTAAAAGGTGGCTTTTGATCGGTGTTTGCAATAAATATGATAATTTGACCATCGATTTCGATCATGTTTATCATATGCTCAAGGGTAGGGATGGTGACTATAGTCAGGTAGAGTGAAAATAGACGAGCAATTATCTACCACACTCTAAACTCCCTCCCCGCTTGAACCGGTGAAAAGACAGAATCCGGATGACCGAGCAGGAATCAGGCGTAATCCGCCTTCACCAACGCATGTAAGAAACACCGCCTAACTTAGCCTTTTGCATTGGTACTACTGCGCTACCTACCCTCACTCATCTTCAGTGGGTGTCAAGGCAGGCTCGGTGAGGCCTAGACTGCTACTACTGCTACCACTAGTACTGCTACTTACTGGCAATGCAGCTGAGTGATAGTAGTCCTGGTACTATTACTGATGCTAATAATTGGTCAGAAATGACACTGCTTAGATTCAGCGCTGGGCTCATATTCCCTCGACCTCAACTAGGATCTGAGACCTCGATTTATGCTATTCCGAGTTATGTAGATACTTGAGGCTCGGAGCACATAGATGCTTGCCGCTGTTTTTACCCCCTTACCTCTATTCACCAAAACTGTATCAGTTTTTCCCTACATTGTAGATTACGAGAGCTAGGGTACTGCTGCTAGAAGTAGTACGCCAATATCAGAGTGCTAATTCTAGTAATCAGACTTGCTAAGACCACTAATTAGTATACTACAATGCGGCCTGCTATAAATATAGAAAGTGAGTCAA